CGGTGCCCCAATAATCCCCCTTAATGGTCCAAATGGCAGGTTCAGCCAGTATCCCATTGTCCCTTGATTGTCTGCCCTTCTGGCATGGGCTTGTTTCCTGGGGTCCTTTCAGCTGCGCGCAAAGCTGGGGTTTTCTCAATCGCGCGGTGGTCGCCTTTCTGCGGCTCACGGCTTTGCCCTTTGTCTCAGCACCCGGCGCTCATCAGAGTGGATACAAAACATCCACTCTGCGGTTTCCTTGTTAAGTGGCTGCAGGTGGCCCATTAATCAGCTGCAGCTCTCGCTTCCTCTTTTTCTCCAGCTTGTGGTCGGGCGGTAGGCTTGGCTTAGCGCGGCTGGCCGGGTTTCCTAGCAGTGCCACGCCGGCTGAACCTGACACATGTAAGTGCTTTGGAAAGTGCATTATGCCTGCAGATATCTCTGTGGAAGCTGTGTGTCCAGTTTCTCTTGTGCCCAGGCTAAAATGTCCATGGAGCACAGTGGGGTGGGGTGGGGGTTGTGGAAGTATGTCTGCAGCTGCCTGAAGTAGCCTGCAGTAACTGGGCAGCTCCTATCCCTGACCATGTTATCAACCAGATCGTGTCCTCAGCAAAAAAATGGAAACCTGATTTAAAATGGAAAGAACCAAGGACAACCGTTAGCTGCTTCAGCTATAGGATAGGAATGAGACAGGCAACATCATGAGGACACAGCAGAAAAAAATTATCTGGGCATGTCCATCCCTCAGTTAAGGAGACCCAAGACTGAGCTCTTCCCTTGAGCTGAGTCTTGACTGAGCCAAGGTCAAGGTCAGGCAAACTCTTGCACCATTTTAGTTGGTAATCCTTACTGTCATGGTCACTGGCAGCATTTTATACAATTATTTCTATAAGGTTAGAAGGTTCAAGTTAAAAAGCATAAATGCTTCTAAAATCAATAAAAATAAAAGGAATAGTTCACTCCAGCACCATAAATGCAAGCAATAGAATCCTTTAAAAAAGAACTACTAATATTTAAAACTAATAGCAGGATTATAAAACTATTTTATGAATAAAATACTAAAATGTATTTACTAAGTGTTAAGCTACTAAGCAAGTATATGTGTGCATATGTACATGTGTGTGTGTGTCTGTGTTTATATATATAGATATGAAAATAGGTTGCAAATTGGAGGACAAAAGACATTAAAGCAGAGTTTCTCAACCTTGGCAACTTTAAGAAGTCTGGAGTTCAACTCCCAGAATTCCCCAGCCAGCATTTCTTTAATGAGAAACACGGCATTAAGGGAATCTGTGATCTAGAGTTACAAGTTCCTCCAAGTCACAGGGACAGATTTGTCCTGCAGAGGGATATTATACATTAAAATGAGCTAAAGAAAAAGCTTTCGATTTCCTTTATTGATATGGAAAAACAATTAAAAACTGTCCTCACAAGTCTGGGAAAAGAATTCTTGGGCATATGTTGAAGACTGGCAGAAAGAAAACAGAAATGGAATGTAGGAGAGATGACAATGGCGGCTTAGCTGGGGTAGAGAATATTCTGAGTTTCATAATCCACTGTGAAGTACTAAATCCCTCAAAGGGAGGTTTATCCAACTGTGATAATGAAAACATGTCAGGTTTCCCCTTTAGCGACCAGTCAGAATGCCCTGTGTGCACTTAGTACTGCAGGATCAAAGAGCAAACTTAATTCACAGGCCTTGCGTCTAAGCAGCCCAAAGAGGTGAAAGATGTTCCTGCGTGGACTGAAAGCCCTAATGGCCTGCAACGTTGTTCCAGGCCTTTTTCCTCCCTCCCTCCCTCCCTGTGCAAGTCTTGTATTCTGAGAGAAAGAAAGCCCACTAATTCTGATACAAATATATGCAAATACATTTGTTAATATAAGAAATACTGCAAATCAGTTATTGCTTTCTTTATAAATAATACAGGCGTACATTTTAGAGATATTACTTTCTCCAAAACGCATTAGACAGCTGCAAAAAATTACATTTTTCTGGATGGTAATATCTTTAACCAGATTTGAGGCGCTAACAACATTTTCTATGTAGATATTATTTTTATTTAATACAGATAACCTTTTTATTACAAATCACATTGTCTCTCTAGAGATTACCATCAACTCTCATAAAAGCTGAAAAAGCAGATGAAAAAGTGTCAGTCACATATTCTGGACACAATGTAGTATATATGCAGATCAAAGCCACAAAGCGTTGAAGAGGTTTCAAAGAGATACTTGTTAGCTAGCACTTTCTGTATAGTTGACTTGTCTTCTAATTCACTATAGTTTCAACTGAAATGTAGCTCTGGGGGCTGTTAACTGTAAGGCTGCCTCTTAACGATTAACTCTGCAAAGACTTTGCAATCCACCTGCTGCCCTCGCGGCTTCCTTTTCATGGTTCCTTGCCGTGCAAAATCCAGTTCGTGTAGATTTACCCATAGGGCAGGGCAGTCAGTCGTGCAATTAGGGAGAACGAGGCTGTCCCTTACCTTTGGGGATAACTCCCCTTCCCCTTTAGATTTTCAGATGAATATACTGGGAACATGATTTGATTCACTTTGGAGGGAGTGCAGTTATATGGAAATGTTTGGCATCTCTGATCAGATTGTATGTTTCAAGAAATCCTTAAGTGAACAGCAGCTGACACAACCTTCTGGATGGTACAAAGTTAAACATGACATATTTCTGCAAATTTGAATGCATACTTACTGTGTAAACATGTAATTGTTTACCAATTCAAAATTATAAAATCATGAATATGGAGGGTGCAAAAATTTGAGCAACCTTTCAGCCAGTACTTTGTATCATTCTTTTGGCAAAAATAATACCTTCCAAATGTTTCCTGTGCCCAGCTAAGAGTCTTCCTTGCAGAACTCTTCTCTCTCAGAAATATTATTCAGTCTCCTTGCATGTTATGCCTGTTTGAGATCAGTACTCAAGTCTGAGGACTATGAAATCCATTCCAAATCCTTTATCTTTCTTTCCTGTAAGCACTTCATGGTTAGTTTGGAGATATGTTTTAGATACCTGTCTTGCTGAAATATCCAAACTCTTTTCAGCTTCAAGTTCTTCACTGGCTGTGGAATGTTAACTTTGAGGATATGTTGAAATTTAGTGAAGCCATGCTTGCTTTCACCTGTACAATATTTCCTATGCACATGCTGCCACAGTATCTCAAAGCATTATAGAGATGCCTTCACAATTAATGTTGGCAAGGAATTCTTTTCTCCAAATGCTTCACTCTTTTTCCCTCCAAATATACCTTGTATGGTTATGTCCAAACAGTTCAAAACACTTTGTTCCAAAACATTTCAGGATTATCAAGAATTTAATTAGCATATTTTTTAAAAATTACTGTTACGATGATGTTGTAGAAAAGAGTTCCTTCTGAAAACTCTTCCAAAGAGATCATTATTATATAAGCAACGCTGTATCATGGACAACTTCTCCAGTGCCAGCTAAACTTTTCAGTGGATACTTGCAGCAATCTGTGAGTTCTGTCTTGCAGATTTGACCATGTTTCAGTCAGTTCTAAAAGATTTTTTTTTGGTCTTCAAGCTGTTGTCCCACAGTCAGTAAAGAGATTAAAGCTGAGAGGTGGGATATTTTCATAATTTGAAAAATATCATCCTAACTGACTATGAAGTACTTAAAGGAAAGAAAAATACAATGTTTTGGAATGGCCTTCACAGTCCCAAGACTTGAATATTACTGAAAATCTATGTAAAGATCTCAAACATGCCTACATGCAAAGAGACTTAAGAATATTTCTGAGCTAGAAGAGTTCTGTAAAGTTTAGTGCCTCAGCCAATCAACATACTCAGTATAAATTCCAATTTATCACTGAGCACAGACTGGTAATTTTGTGAGCATGTTACACATACGTTATGTAGTGTGATCACTACCTGTTGAAGGTGAAATGGCAGGAAAGTCCATAATTATGTAATTAACAGAGGTCCATTTCAACTAAATAGACCTACTAACAAGATTGGTCAGTTTGACCCCTGCTATTTTTTCTTTTTTCCATAAGTCCTGAACAAAAAAATGAGCTTTATTTCAAACTCCAGAACCATATCAGGGTTTTTTATTTGCCTTGTTACTGAATCGTTTTTTTAAAAAAAAATAAAAGCTAAATTAAGGTTAATATTTCCAGTGTTTATTCATGAACTCCCATTGAATTCACTGTGGTTTACTTACATGAATCTAGGAATATGTTTAAATAAATTGCAGTGATAGTCCTCATCCTGCTACTTTTTGAGTGTGGCCCTTGGCCAGCTGTAGTCCTTGGCCTGAAAAAATAGGAATACTCTGCCTTATTGTCGGACCAGGATTTGAAAGAGACAAGTTCAATTTTTCATTCAACTATTATGCTAATCTTGGGCTGGTCATTATCTTTCAGCTTAATCTGTATCACTAAATTACTATAACAATAGCACTGGAAAAGGAGAGGTAACGCATATGAAGAGCTCATCAGAGGATACATAGAAAATAACTAAATGATGAATTGAAAGACAAAAATTGTGAACTTTCCAAGCTGGCCTGATAAAAGTATTCTGATTGTAGATGAACCTTGGTGTTAAAGGAAAGAGTAGCCTTTTCCTATTTGGTTTTCCAGACACTAAGAAATCCTGAACGTACTGGTTGTAACGGGTGGGAATTCTCAGATCTAATCACATATAAGAACTTGGTTTTGAAAACGCTGGCCTAAAGAAACCAGAAGTCCAGCAAACATTGACTGAATTCACACGTCGTTATACCAGGATATGTTTCCTTGGTTTTGGCTTCATATGTCAAGTGAACTCTGATACAGAGAATCCAACTTGGGAATCTTGGCAAACAAGTTTATGGTTGAAAATGAGTGAATCACAAAATGTTGAGACAGAATACGAGGAGAAAGGGAATTTCCTGGTTCAAACCTGCAATGGTCTTTTGGAACACAGAGGAGAAGGACTTGGGAGGTTCAAATATACCTTCACCCCTTACAATATAGTGATACTGAATTGCCCATAGTGGAGAGATTCAGTCCATGCCCATATTTGATGAGGTATATCACCACACAGGCTTTGAGTAAGACGGTAATCACCACATCCATCAAATAATTCAGAGCCTGCTCTGCTCCCAGGAAAATCCTGTCTGCTCGAATCAGGACCTTTCCTGGCCTGCGTCACCTGCAGGGAAATAAAGGTCAAGGTGATGGTTCTCCTAGCACAAGTTACATGTCCAGTGATTTAAAAAATGCTGATCCATGCTGATATGATCCTGTAGTGCATTTAACCACAGCTTTTTAACCATACCAAAGCACTTGTTTCTTACTGATTTCTTCTATGACAGAAAAAAACAGCTCCCAGAGGACAATTTTGCACTGAAAAATAACAAGTGGAACTAAGAAACCTCTCTCTTTTTTCTTTTTCTTTTCTTTTCTGTTCAGATTCAGCTGCTTTGAGTTCAAATACACAAGGAACAAATAACAGAATTCCCCCCTCCCTGAGCATTTTAAAATATTTTGTCATAATCGCAGCTTGTAATTCTGGTTGATGTTGATTCCCATTCATCTGAGGTATAAATCCTGAATGGCAGCATGGCTTCTCTTCCCCCTTTCCTCCTCCTCTCTCTTTCTCAACAGGGAGGTGATTTTGATGTTGCAGACAGAATGTTCCACAGTGTGAAGAACACCTGGGAATCAGCATCAAGAGACAACATGACTGATGTTAGGGAACTGACACCTGAATTCTTTTATCTCCCTGAATTTTTAACAAACCACAACCATATTGACTTTGGTAAGTAGGCATACTGTGTTGAATTTCCACGTAGAATCATAGACTCCATAGTTTCAGAATCATTGAGATGGATTTGCCTCTTGAGTGCAGGAATTCAGATTAAAGCATTCTAGACTAGCTTGTGCTCAAACACGCAAATAATGTTGGTATTTTGTGTTGACTGAATGTTTCATTAAATACCACATTTTTTCATCTTCTTTTTAGTTCTGATTGCAACCCAAGGTGCTACTGCTTCAACACCATTCCCTTCTAAAACACCCTGGAGGAATTTGTCCATGCCTAAATCTGTTTTTCCTCAGCAGCAGATGTCTGTCTAGGAGTGCTTTTGGCAAAAACTGGAGAGATTGGTTGGCACAGTGGTTGGCAACTCAGCAATCAAACCTGCATGAAGCCCACACCACGGGTTTTGGGCCTGGGGTGATAACTAAGTATTTTGGTCCACTGTTAACTTCCAGTTTTCTGACTCATTGCCAACAGCTTCTCCTACCAAATCCTAGTTGTCCTCTGATGAGGGCTTAATAATCTTATCTCCATTCATTCATTCATTCATTCATTCATTCATTCATTCATTCATTCATTCATTCATATTTCAAATTTAGCCAATGCTCATCTCACGAGGAAGTACATCCCTTTATAGGTATATTCCTTTGATCCCAGATGGAGGAAAGCTTTTTGTGTCAGTTCTTTTATGTCACAAATGTCTTCTCTTCTGTTCCTTGTAGGATGCTTGCAGGATGGGACCTTGCTGAATGACGTGGACTTGCCACCTTGGGCAGGAGGAAATCCTCATAAATTTATTAGGTTGCACAGACAGGTCAGTATGAAAAGCTGTGCAGTTTGGAACACTGTGAATGCTAGAATCAAAAGTAAATCAGAATCACAAGTCAGAGATAAAGTCTAATATTCTCAAAATATTTGTTTTTCTCTAAGATTACAATGGTACCTCGGGTTACGAATTTAATCTGTTCCATGACTCTGGTCGCAACCCGATTTGTTTGCAACCCGAAGCAAATTTTCCCATAAGG